ATTTACAATAAATATTTCATAATATTTATAATAAATGTTTATGATCTGTGCAATTTAAAATTATATTTGCAAAATATATAAAAATATTTGCAAAATATTTAAAATAAATCTTATAAATATTTATAAATTTTTGTAAATATTTTATAAATATTGTGCTGTCTCGGGAACGACCTACACAATTTTAATAATCCAATGAAATTATTTGCAAATCTGCATTTAGTTAAATAGATACTTCAGATTTTTAGATAGATACTTCAACAAAACGTTCTTTCCGTGTATAAATTAACAAAAAGAATCCAAATCTAGAGACGTAAAGAAAATTGAATTGTTTGACACTTTGGAAGAGAGAGAGAGAGAGAGAGAGAGAGAGAGAGAGAGAGAGAAACAGAGAGAGATTTTATATACAATTAAGCGAGTATCCAATACCCCACCGTTCATTTCAGAGGATTAAAAGAAAAACTGTGTCTTCGGCGGAGAGGTGTTATTAAATTTGTTCCGTTCGTCTCGCACGAGGAGAAAATTTTGCATATCGAGTCGAGGGTTGGCCAGAATCTGGCTTCTCTGTATGGCGAACGACATTCGGGCTCGACGTGTCCGATCCCCGCCCGATCGATCTACGCGCTTCCAGTTGCGGCGGCTGGCTGTGGATCACGTACCCTACCTATATCGTACATGCGATAACGTATAATGCTGCCGCAGTGCCAAGGGAAGTAACTAGTCGCTTCGTGGCTCTAATGCGGCGTCGGGCCTCGCGCTGTCACTCCCGTAAACGCTCGCTAGCCCGTCGTCGTTGTCAGTGTTTTTTGTCGGCGGGGCGCGTCCCGTCTCCCGCATCGTCGAGACGGTCCTCATTATTGCGACGCGATATCGATAATAATCAATCCCTTCGCGGATCTTTCGCGGGCGCCCGCGATTCTAATTGAATAAGTATCATAATTTAGTATCGATAATCAGAACGGGAGAACGCCGACAAAGAGAGAGAGGGAGAGAGAGAGAGAGAGAGGGAGAGAGTGTCGCGCGGCGAATATTATTGAAAAATCTCGGTGAGT